GTAAACTTCCAGCAGGTTTTTACAAAGACCTGAAAGTTTCTTGTGGAAGAGAGAAGATATAGCTAGAGCTTGATCTGATGTAGAACAGGCAGCTAGGATATTCAGAAAAAAAAAAGTTTCTTAAAAGGATGGATCATTTTGGATGTATTTCTGTCTTCTGGAAAGAGCTGCAGGACATAGTTGTGCCTATGAAGGTAGACCCAGGAGACAGCTGTCATTCCAGTGAGTCTCCAGTAGCCACTAGAAACTCTCACATTAGACTTCCCAACTCTTTTGTGATGTTGCTGAAGTTTGCACGCATATTGAGGCTTTGAGCAACCTGGGCTAGTGGGAGGTGTCCCTGCCCATGGCAGGGGGGTTGGAACTGGATGATCTTTAAGGTCCCTTCCAACCCATATGAGTCTATGATATGATTCTATGTCTAAACAGAGATGAAGATCTGACTGCAAAGGCAAAATGAACCCCGGGTTCTAATGCTACAGATTCGTTTAGGCTGTGGACCAATAGTTTGATGTGTTAAACTTCTGTTCTCACTAGTGCATGGACAGCCAGAGAGACCCGTGATCTGTGACTCTGCAGGTACTAGGGCTCCAGGAAAGACATCTGACAGCTAAACCAATGTCCCTCATCACCCTCAGCACCTCTGGAGGATGAGACATCTTATCCTGATGGCAGCACTAGAGCGTGATGAGCCAAATGCTCATGCTTGGGTGCCAAACCCTCTGCAGTGACTATGAGGGGGGTGTGAATTTCGACTCAAACCTCTAACACAGATGTCTAAAAGCCTACTGAAAAAATAATGAGGGTCTGGATGCACTATTGCTGCAAAGAGGCGGTCAGGGATAACAGAGGTCAGAAGACGAGTTCACGATGTGGACTCAGACTGCCAGTACAGCTGTTTACTCCTTGCCTGCACTTTTCATTCCCAGTGGCCAGGGTCAGGAAGGATTCCTGCTCTAGGTCACATTTTGGAGTTAGGATCTCCCAGCCCTCTGGTTTCATTGGAGTTACATCACAACTGCAAGATCTAGCTCTGGCATACATATGTTTGCTGCCACTAATTCTCCTTCAGTCTAAATTAAAACTGCTTTAAATGTCCCTCAGTTATATTGTACAGCCTCTATAGGGCTTTCCTCTTACTGGTTAGTGAAAGCCTACGTGACATGCTCTTCTAACCTTGACCCATCAGCCAATTCCTTGTGCATGGACAGAGACCAACTGAAATCTGTGAAATTTCATACTGACAAATACGATCTAACCAGGCTTATGCCAGCATCAGGACATCTTTGTCTTCTCAGACAGGTACCTTTCAACTGTTTTAATCTCAGTGAACATGCAGTTGTTTGCTCTGACATCTCTCCTTTCTTCCTTCCTTCTTACAGTAGGTCTTCTGTTGTGATGAATGTGGGAAAGCCATCTGTCATACTGTCCTAAAGCTCACCTATCATAAACAGGATAAAGCTTTTAAGTTTCCCTGTAAGGCTTTGCCCATACTTACTGGGTGTGGGATTACTACATGTGAGTCTCCCAAAGGCCCTTGTCTGTCTTGTGGCTGCTTAGAAGGTTATTGTCCGTCTGCTGACTGATGGCAGCCAACTGTCTGCACAGAATAAATGTGCTGCCTTAGATCTCCTTACGGCATGAGTCTTGCTAGAAAACAGACCATCAGGGTGGCTTAGACTAATGCAGGCTTAGCATAAAGGCAGGCTTAGCGAGCTGACACAGTCAAGTACCACAGCTCTGCTCAGAAGTGGCACCTTGCTGGGCTGGAGCAATGGTGTCCGTTTGCACTATGCATCCATTTTCTCAGATAAGTAGCTGTTTTAGCATGCATCACTTTTTTTCTTCATTATCTCAACACATTTCGTATTACATTTGCATTGCAACACAGGTAAAATAAAACGTAAACTCCTTATAAGCAGATAGATAGGAATCAACCACTGAGATACTTGCTGGAATTCTGCTGCTGCAAATTCCTATCAAAAGCAAATACTATTCATCCAAATAAGGGCTGAGCTGGGACAGACTGGGAGGTCTCCGAGCTAGCCCAATAATACAATTCCTATTGCGTTCCTCTGTACCAATCTGTTAGAAAACAACAACATAGAAAAAACCTGCATCTTAGCATTCCCTCTTCATTCTCATATACAGCCAGAATGTCTGGCACTTGGTCATACATTTGTAACAGCAACATAGAGAAACATCACATGCGAGAAAACCTATCTAAATACATCTAATTTTCATCTTCATAATTGCAGTGGTCTAGCAGGTATTTCTGACAATCAGAGGAAAACAAACCTTCAGAGATACCTGCCGAACAGACAAAGAGACCCTGAATTCCTAGAGAACATGGGGAGTTTCACCTGAGCAAAATCTGAGTGAGGGTTTAAACCAGTGAAATAGGAAGCTGCTCCCAGAAGGAAGATACACAACATCTGGCATGATGCTGGGATGCTGCACCGTCTCCATCTCTGGCCCAAATTCAGCAAAGCATCTGCCATATCTTTTCAGAACAGCATCTTAAATTTAGTTTGCTCTGCAGAGACTCTCGCTCAGCCCTGGGGTATACCTACTGGCAGTCATATAGTAATATTTAATATTTATGTTAAAGAATCAGGAGGCTCCAAAGTAGGCTTGAAAACCTAAAATACCCCAAATACATTTAAAACAACACCAGCGTAGGTGTCAGTATTTACTATTTAAGTATCTGTCAAGTTCTGGCGATGTTCTCAAAACATGAATCAGGACAGAGCTATTTTATTTCCTCTGGAAATGCCTGAACCTCATTTAGTCTTTTTTCAGCTTTTGACCTGTCAGAACCCATATGGGATGAAGCACTGAGTGAATTACAAAGCTACAGCAACTTCTACTGTGCCCTAATTATCAATTAAAGTAGAAAGCATCCATTTGCACAGTCCAGGCTCAAGTGAAATGCTCTTCCTACTCAGAAGAACACAAGTTCAGTGCATACTTCTCAGCAGTGTTGCTGCTATGTATATTACCCAACTGTGACCTGAAAGTGAAAACAGCTATAAACACACATGAATCATCTTCTTAGGCGATTTTTATCCATGTTCAGACAGGTAACCTGGATAGTTAAGATGCTTTTACTTTACTGTCCTGTGGTTAAAGCAGAATTGAGGTAAGGAAATGTACATGTGTCAGTTTTAAAGTTGGAATTGTTCCTCTAACTCATGAATAAAATTTAAACAAATCTCATTCCCACAAAAAGCTGTATTCTGCAGGCTGGGGGAAAAGGACACACTATTTACTCTTGTCATTAATGTTTTGAAAACACGTTTTCCTGACATAAAACTCATTTTCACTTCTGTTTTGGTTTTGCAGCATGGGAGCAATAACGTTGAAGCCTGTTGGACACCACCTCATGAGACACGCTACAAATCAGTTTCATCGGGTGAGCATCCCACAGCTGTCTGCAGCAGGGTTCCCTCACACCATGGGCTTCAAAGCAGAAAGGAAACCCTTTTGCACCAGGTTAAAAATCAAAACAGAACCTCTTGTTTTGTCATTTTAAAATAAGCTTACTTGGATGATTTAGTCTGAGAAAATAAATCAATGGAGGTTTCAACTTTGGAAGCCAACTTGGAACAAAAGGCAATGTAAAAACATCAAGCTGTCCCAAGGGCCTCACAAAACCCATTTGCATCTTGTCTGTATACTCTGTTGAAGGGAGTCTAATGTGCGCACTTTCCAGCTATTAGCATGTGCTAATGGGACTCCTGCTATTGCCAGTTCAGGATGAGGACTGCAGGATTTCTTGCAGAGTGGTGGGGAGAGTGGGTACTGGCAATCAAGGAGGCATCATGGTGAGGAATTTCTCCTCTGGTTCCCACTAATTAAAGCCTCTTTCGTGGCTCCTTTTAAAAAGCCTCTTTTTAAAATCACCATTTCTGGTGTCCAAGCAGCCAGCATGGAGGCAGGATGGGTCACATTGAGGGTCACTGTGGCCTACTGACTGGCACTGTAACTGCAACTCCTTTCAGGTCAGTCCTCACCCAGACCAGGATGCTACTGATGCCGGGAAGTGGTCTGAATATGGACCTGTAAAACTTATCTCCCTTGACCAAAATCAGCTAATCATGTCTATAAGCAAGGCATTTCTGGAGACCTAGAGCCCATAGGGACTGGGAACTAGAAACTGGGAAGCACTAAGTGCAAGGGCTCTAGCGTATTTACCTCCACTGAATACGAGGTTAAAGATCGGACACTATAGTTAGACACAACCCCATGTGCAAGGCTGTCTGACCCCCTGGGAGACACAGGAACATCTCTGTGTCTGGGAGGGATACAGCCTGAGATGCCCAGTCAGCAGACTTAGCCCGTATCCTGCGTGGCAGCAAGGGGTGGTAAGCCCTGCGACAGTGGCAGCCACCAGAGTCACTCCTGGGGCTCCAGGTGTCCGCATGTGCCCTGTCCAGCCCTCTGGGTGTGTTCCAGGATCTGACCCCAAGCCAGCCTCCAACTGTCTCACCTGAACAGCAACTGATGCTTGGTTTAGCTTCTGGAAACAAACACAGCCTCACCTCAGGGGAAATTTCATGACAGCCCTCGCTGTGATTTCCTCAGTTGGTACAGAGAGACTCACACCCCCCTTGGCAAGAGTCATGGGAAAATGTACATCTCTTGCACTGCACGACATAGTCCATCTTGAGACAGCAATGCTAGCAGATACAGCTCATCACCCAAACTGTTCTCACACAGCACACCACATAACCTTGTGACTGATTTGCATTTTGCATGAAAAGAGCAAGCAACAGTAAGTTCAATCAGAAACGAAAGCAGAACCCATTCTAACAAATGGGGTGATAACAAGAGCCCCGATTCTTCTCTTGAACACAATCACAGCTCCTCTGACAGCCAAGCAGAGCTGGGAGTGCACAAGACAGGAAGAGGGCTCTTGGAGAACAGAACAACCTGCTATAAGGACATGACACAGAGCTACAAAAACCAGGGAGGGAGAGAAGTAGAAAGAGACATACTGGAGAAGCTGACCATTGCGAAATGCTGACACCGGTCTCCTGTGAATTCGATCGGACACCTACCGGAAGAAAGAAAACCAGAAAGAGAGAAACAAGATAGCAAAATGACACCCAAACAGAGCGAACTGAGGCCCCTTCTGATCCCTTCCACAGCTCCTATCCGTCTGCTGTCAGACTGCACCCTTACCTGCATCCCTAAGCCCTAGCCCAAAGCTGACACCAAGAGCCATCCCTGACTAGACCACTCTACGTCCACCGCTGTGCCCAGGAGGTTTTAAGTAGTGTGGTGCATTTTTTGTCTTCAAACATACTTTGCTTAGGATCTGGCATGTACAATCGCAAAGGCAGTTTCTCCAAACATCTCTGTCCGAAGAATCCATTTGGACATCTGGAGGGGAAAAGGGGAGAAATCACAGAACATGTCTGGCACCATTCTTGAGGCTAAGGTCAGAAATAAAAAGTGCATTGTGATGAATGGAAAAAATAAAGGCTTTATGTGCTTATTTACTCTCCGCTTTGCTTTAACCAGGCACCTGCAACATCAGCATTCCAGCTCTATTTTTGGCCTGGGTCTTCAAGTAGCCAGCCAAACCCCTCATTTCCTCCTCTGCCTGCCTCCTTCCTTCTCACCTGCTTGGAGCACCAGCTGTCAGGAAGATCGAGATGGTCTGGATGCTACTTTCAGAGACTTTCCTTGGAGCCGCTATCTAGCCAAGATGGGCAGGAGGCACCACAGAGCGGGTGAGTAGCTGCTCAGGCGGCAGTGAGCATTGTGTACAGCAAGCATCTTCCTGCTACTACCCCCAGAAGTACCCACAGGGTGTTCCAGGGAAAAGGGTTATGTTGCAGTTAGAGAGAAAGCATGTGCAGAGTCTCTGTGTTAACAGAGAGAAAGGGACAGAGAAGAAGCTGAACCGAACAGGTCTCACATGCTGCCCAGCTGCAAGGCTCTCTCAGCCTATCCTGACCAACATTACATGATGGGCTGCCATTCGCCAGCTCACAGGGCGCCAGTTATACATGAGCATGATGCTGCAGTGGCAGGGACGGTGCCCTCGGGATGAGGGCCACAGTCACGTGCATCAGCTCATGAGTAAGCTCCCCAGAGCAGCTCCCGGGCTGAGCCAGGCTTGGGGAGCCGGGGGACGTGAGCAGGGGTGCATTGGGAGCCGCTGAACCACGCACGGGTGCAGCAGCACCCGCATGCTCTGCGTTGTGACCGGCCGCAGCTGCGGGTGAACCTGGGAAGTGATGGGACCTCAGCTGTGGGTGGTCAAATGCTTCCTCCCAGGCACTTATCACTCTCCCTCACTACGTATCTTTTCTTCTGCCCTCGTTGGACAGGTCCTCAAAGTTATCCCTAGCTTTCTTGAAGTCTCTTATCTGCCTGTCCCACAACTCCCTCCCTCCCCCACAACTGACCTCCCTCTCCTCTGAGTTAAGAGGGTTTTGTCATTGTAGCTACCATCTTAACACCTGATTTTCAGCTTCCTGGGGTAAGCAGGGCTGCAGGCTCTGTGCCTCGTAGACATCAGACCTTCCTTGCCCTCAGCTGCCACCCACAAGATCGCACTGTCCCTCAATGTTTGGCAGGTCCCTGCTGGTCAGCAAGGAAGGGATGGAAGGACACCACAGCAAAAAGGACATGGATCAGAGGCCCTACCCTGAGAACGATGGCTTAGCTCCCTGCCGGTCCACTGTGAAGGACAGCAAACAGATGGAGCAGCCTTGACACAGCGTCAGATGACTGGTCCCAACCTGTGCATAGGGTGGGGTGGAGTGGGGCAGGTCCAGGTCCCACACACTCGCTGCCAGCCCTGCATAGGCAGTGCAGATCTGACCCTTTTGTGGTTTCCAAAGGTCACACTAATGCCTGCTCCCAGTCTGTGGACACAGTGAAGGGGATGAGGAAGGGATGGCTTTGATGTTTAATATGATCAAAGCTTTGTAGTTCCAAAGCTTGTTGGCAGATTAGGTCTGTTCTGTTGCTCAAGGGCTATGGCAGCCTCTGCTGTTATCGACAGGTTTATGTTTAGATGGCACATTACAGATATGCAACTCCAGTGGCAGTTAAGGAAGTCAAGAAGAGAGATCATAGGATCAGAATGGTTGGGTTGGAAGCGACCTGAAAGCTCGTCTAGTTCCAGCCCCCCTGCCATGGGCAGGGACACCTCCCTCTAGCCCAGGTTGCTCAAAGCCTCATCCAGCCTGGCCTTGAACCCCTCCAGGGATGGGGCATCCACAGCTTCTCTGGGCAACCTGTTCCAGTGTCTCATCACCCTCTGAGTGAAAAATTTCTTCCCAATAGCTAATCTAAATCTGCCCTCTTTCAGTTTAAAGCCATTACCCCTTGTCCTGTCACTACATGCCCTTGTAAAATACCCCTCTCCAGCTTTCTCAGGTCCTGGAAGGCTGCTTCTCCCTACTTGCCTAAGAGAATGCAGAGAGGTTTCTTCAGCAACTTATTTGGTTCCCTTGCGGGAATGTGCTGGGTTATTTGTGCACCCCAAACTGCTCAGGGAGAACTTAAGGGCATGCCTTTGCATGAGGCTTCACTGAACTCCCTAGTCATACACTTAAGTTTCTCAGTATCCAAGTCAATTCTGAAACTGGAAATTTGACTCCCTGGTCAGGCAAATATCTTTGAAAATTTCAACCTCTTCTTTTGCATTCTTGGACATCCATCTTGCAGCACAGAAAAAGAAGACATACCAGTAACGTCATTTCAATACCAGGGAGCTCAGCCAGCTCCCAAGGAAAGACCACCATCAGACATGAGGCCCGTTGACCTTCCCTGTGATGAAGCAGAGGAAGCTGATGCTGGGAAGTGGAGTGAAGAAGATGCCCGGTCAGCAATCAAAGAGCACAAGCCTGAGGCAGCTGGGTGATGCAGACTCACAAGGACAGCCCTGGGGAAGCAGGACTTTGGAGAAACCTTTAAGAGACTGCACTGTGATTTGAACAAAGCATCCAAAATAGAAGGTGTCTTCCCAATCCTTTTTGAAGTCTTTTCATCACCACTGATAAGAGTCATGAACTTGGTCACAGAATCTTCAAGGATATCCAGTTTAGCTTGCAACGTGCTACCCCTTTGTCTGGGATCGGAGATCTGTATGTTGTGAGCACACTGAAGGGACTCAGGGATGCTGATGAATGAAGTAAATGTCCTACCCACCTCAAAAAGGGGCACTTTGTCTGCAAGGAGCTAAAACTTTCTCGGGTGCACATCTGCAAGAGGTTGGCCAAGGTAGTAACTTCAGTGTGACTGAAGCTGCATGCCATTAAGGAAAGATTTAAAATTACCTGAAAATTGGTGGAGGGAAATAACAACCCAGAGGAAGAGACTGGTGAGAAGTGAAAAAGTAAAACAGAAAAGTATCAAAGAAGCTTTGATGCCATGACAGCTACCGTACAGCCCATCTTCAGATCTCTGCAGTCAGCCTAGTGTGGGCACGGAGAAGAGCTTTCTAGACAGAAGGCAGTAGATAACAGTCTTCTCCATGTGTAGGACAGCTCGAGCTTTTCATCTTTAGTTACTAGTGAATCAGCACTGGGAAAAGTGACAGAAAAGAAGCCCTCATGAACATGAGCACCTTCTGTCACCTCCCAAGCTAGCATACAAGCTGTCAAGAGACACGTGTGCCACTCTTGTGTCCCTGGGTCCCGATTTCTCAGAAGCAAGGCTGCTGGCAGCAACAGTGACCAGGAGACCTCTGAAAGCATACAGTGCTCATGGTTCCTTTTTTAGCTGTCTCATACTTCTTGACTGGTGAAGACGGTTTGGTTTTTATTACTATGGCTCCAGATGTGACTTCTAGGAAAGAAAGTTCCAGCGTGCACAGTACAGGAGTCTCCCAGCTGGGACAGGAAGAGCAATGGAAAGCATCCCTTCTGCATGCAGAATCTGCTGCCTGGGGTAAGGGCTTGTGGGCAGCTCTTCTTCAGTGGCCAAGCAAATGGCCACTGAAGAAGAGAGTTAAGGCTCACTAAGGTCACGAGCCATGAGATGGTCTTTGGTCATGGCACCTTCTTCCCACACATTTGAACCCAGTCGAGAGGTTTTGGTTGGCTATCCCAGCAAAATGGAGTCCCTCCTCCTTTTGAAAGCTCTTGCAGGGACTACACAGATGGTGGGCTATTCCTGAAAATATTACCTTCAGACCTCCTGGTCCACTCACTGGTATCACAGAGGCCCAACATGTCTCTCCTCAAAGGCCAAGGGAAGTGGACAAAGCTGTGTTTGTAGGAACAGTCTTGGGGAAGTACAAGGCTGCATCAACCTCTTGCGGACCGTGCCTCGTCCCCTCTCTAGCCTGTGTGGAGAACCCCCAAGACCGTCCTTGCTTAACTGCATCCCTCTGTGCCTACCCAAGTGCATGAAAATATTTTTTTTAAAAATGCAATTTTCCACTTGCCACATCTGAAAATTTGCTACTTGCAAATGCCATCAGTAAAACTGATCAAGAATTTTTCTGTCCAGACTCTGTTGTTCCTGGGAAATGTCCAGTTTCTTCAGTTTTGACTAATTCCTTGAGACTTATTTTTATCCCATTTCAAAAACATCCACACAGTTTTGCTTTTGGGTTTATGATGAACTGCGGTTTAATATTAACACAATAAAAAAAAAATGCAGTAAAATGATCAGCCAAACAAAGCATCTCAAAAAGTACAAACCAAAATGGTTTGAATGACCCATTCCTATGTTGTTTGCAGAGCACTTCTTTATGAAAAGAAAATTTGACCTTTTGCCCTGAATCAGGGCAGGGTAATAATTATTGTTAATTATTATTTGCTACTACTAATCTGTAACATCATTATCATAATGTTCCTGCTGGAAGCAAAACTTTTTCTGCCCAGTTGATCTAAATCTTGCAAGGGTTGGCACATTTCCTTTACTCCCTCTGATCTTAATTAAAGTATGCCAAATTCTGTAGCTCTCATAATGCAATCCATGTTACAGAGGAATGTGAACAAGCAGGTGCTTCAAAATAGCGGGATAAGGAGAAGCTGTAGCAGAAGGACACAATGCACTGATATAAGCAAATGGAGAAATGTTTCA